CCCCTCCTCCTTCAGCCCCCCTCCACCTTCACCTCTCCACTTAAATGAAGTAGCTGAGCTATAAGCGCATGGGTTCAGGTTCACACAAATATCTTCCTTCCTCTGGCTCCTCGAGAGGAAAGTTGTTGGAAGTGGGGCCGGGATGGCCATGCGAGGGGCTGCAGGCGGGGAGGGGGAGGCTGGCGGCGGGGGAGCGGCTATCAGCCGGGGGAGAAAGGAAGAAACTAAGGGAGGGACGGGGAGAGACGGAGAAAGAGAGACCCATCACACCAGTGAAAGCTGCCAAATGTGAAATCAGCCCAGAACACCGCGTCCCACTGCGCCCCGGCCCTGCGCGGCCGACGGGGACCGGGGGAGAGGGCAGCGGCGGACAATCGGGCACCGAGCTCATTAGTATTATTAATTATCAGGGAGGAGGAAGTTTCATTTTCGAGTCCCTAACAATTAAAAAAAAAAAAAAAAAAAAGAAAAAAAAAGAAAATAGAAAGAAAAAGAGAGAGAGAGAGAAAGAGAGAGAGAGTCGCTAACTCGGTGCCAGCCCGCCTCGGGGTTCTCACGCTGCCGGGTTTTTTCCCAGGGCCGCCCGCCCCGTTCGCTCCGCGCCTCTCCGCGCCTCCCACCGCCCCGCTCCGCTCCCTCCGCTCCGCTCCGCGCCCCGGCCCGGCCCGGGCTGTGACAGCGCCGGGCGCGGCAGAGCCGGGGCCGCCCCCGCCTGCGCTCCGGGGCACCGGGAGCTCCGGGGCAGCGCCCGCTCCGCTCCGCGCCCGCGCAACAAACTTTGGGGCGCGGCGGCGTTGGCGGGTCCGGCGGCAGCGCCGCTGCCCCGCTCCACCAACCCGCACCCCTCCGCTCCCCCCTTCCAGCGCTCCGCGGCCGCGCAGCCCCCGGGACGAGGCGCAGGGAGCCGGGGGGCGGCCAGCCCGGAGCTGCCGGGCGCCGTCCCCCCCCGCGCCGTCCCGCTCCCCGTCCTGCCGCCGGCTTTCCTCCCACCCCCCCCGCCCCATTCCCCGGGCCGCGGCGGAGCCGGCCGGAAAAGTTTTCCCGGGGGGGCGTCTTACCGTTTTTCCTCCGGGGGTTGGCTTGTTTTCGCCTCTTACACCTGGGGCCATCCGCCATGATCTGCTGCTTCATTGATAAGAGTGGATCAGATGGCAGTTCGCATGGGCTCGACTCCCTGATTCAGCAGCAGCAGCAGCAGCAGCAGCAGCAGCACGCAGGCTCTATGTAACGACCAAACACAGCGACAATGTGGGCATCGGGATGTCCCATTTAAACGCAGGGCGCCAACGGGGACCCCAGTTTGCACCCGAAAAAGAACCCATCCACGCACACGGCGAGCCTGGCCGTGCCGGGGGAGGTGGGACGCGGTCGGAGCGGGCTCCCCCTCTCTCCCCAGCCGGGCAGATTTCTTCTTTATTTATTTATATATTTATTTATTTATTTATTTATTTCTGCTCCCTCTCTCTCTCTCTCTCTGTGTGTGTGTGTGTGTGTCTGCGTGTGTGTGTGTGTGAGCGCGTGTGCGTCTCCCTCCCTGTGTGTGTGTGTGTGTGTGTTGCACCAGCAAAGCAGATCAGAGAGAGAGAGAGAGAGACACAAGAATTACATCTCAAATGAGTCATAACTCATGACCGTATGAGGGAATGCACAGCTTTTACAGTAGGCTGTTTGACTCAATGCTAGGCGGACCATTTCCTCCTAAAAGTACTTTAATTTGACACTAGAACTTATTTTCATGCGAAATCCTACCCTTCTCCTGCCTTTTTTTTTTTTCCCCCAAAAGTGCACTCCAGCAAAGTGATAAGAGGAGAGGGAAACATGGCTCTCCCCTGTCCTTTTGGGGTAAAGCTCAGCACGGAGACCTCCCCCTCCCCCTAACAACGAGGAGTGTAATTATAAACCTCTGTCACCTTTTTAGTCAGTTTGACAATATTCAGGGTTTCCCCTGTCCCTTAGTTAAACAAAGCTTCAGAGTGTCATTTTTTTTTCCTTCCCAGAAAAGAAACAGAAATCAAAACTACCGCTGTCAGAGTTTTCAGCCTTGCAGTTGGGTTTTGGTTTTTTGTTGATTTTTTTTTTTTTTTAAGAGAAAGAAACACAACTTGTAAACTTTTAGACCTACTGTGTTTGCCTGTGTGCCCGGGCTGGGCAGAAGGCTCTATCTGTCAAAGGGAGAGAGAGGCAGCAACGTTTGGCTTGCTGCAAGAACGCTCCTGAAACTCAGTCTATCTCGAAGAAGATGCTGTAGCTTTAAAGATGCTTTGACTTGAGGATTAGTTTAAACAGGGGGCTATAAAAGATGTAACAGATGCAAACTGTAAAACAAGGGCAATTAACCCTTGCTCTCCTGAGCAGGATCCCCCCTCGCCTTCCCATCTATTGTCTTCTCCTGCACTGGGAGTTCCATATAAAACCTAAAAAATGATTACCTGACTTAACAATTCGAACATATTTTTTTTTAAGCAGAGTGAGATATTTTTTTCCCCTTCCTCTTTCCCCTCCCTCGTGTCTTTTTACTTTGCTGGAGCTTCACACCAGGACTGAGCAGTGAAGTGTGTTGCTGTTTGGTCTTTTTATTCTGCCTGAACTCTCCCCTCAGACGTTTGCTGTTATAAAACCTGCTTGGCTAAAAATAAGAAATCATAAATCTCCAAGCAGGTAAGAGGATGGGAAGATTGAGAGAGTGTGTGTGGGGTCAGCATGTTTACTCACACTCTCCTGCTTGGGATTCCGCCTGGACAGAGGGAATTGGTGGCTCTGTGGATGTGCATATGTGTGGCTGAGGAAGGAAGAGGCTGAGAAATGTGCTAGAAACTTTAGTATTTGCCAGTTATTCCCGAGACTGAAGTGGGCAATGGTGGCATCACCGCGGCACATCTACCAGGAGATGTAGCGGTGAGGGAGGACAGGCACCGAGGCGAGCCCGGACCCTCAGCCTGCCTCGGCAAGAGGCGTTTTGATGCAAAACGACCAATGCTGAATTGTTTTAAATGCATTTCACTCCCTTCCTTGCCCTCCTGCCTCCCGCAAAAAGTTGACAATAATTTTAAACCTGCAAATTTCGAGAATACTTTTCTTTCTAGAGGACTGTATATATAATAACGTATATTTAAAAATATGCATTTTTTTTTTCTCTTTGGTAAACGACTTTTAAGTTCCAGTCAGTACTTTCACTTCTTGCTTTAGGCTCCCAGAAGCTAAGGTGTTGCTTCACCCAGCTTCACAAAATAAAATAAAGAAATGAAACCAACTAAACAGACAAAACAGCAAAACTTTCTGTTTGGGGAAACTCATCCTACGCCGGGGAGCCCTGCCCGGGGCTGGGGCTCCAGCGGTGCCCGGCCGGGCTGGCTCTGCATGCTCAGAGCATGCAAAGCATTAACAGGTACCTGCAAACTTTCAGAGCTCAGATGTAAAACCTGAAATAAAAAGAGCAGGAGGTGGGTGGGGGGGATGTTTGAGTTTGGTTGGGGGTTATTTTTTTTATTATTTTTTTTTTTCCAGGAGGACGAAGTCCTTTCCTAACACTAAAACTTTTGGTGCTGCGTTGTAAAAGGCACCTCCTGTACCTGGTTGACAGGTAAGGGGAGAAGGGGTGGTGGAGGCACAACCCCGAGCGCCCCGAAACTGCTCACCCCTTCCCGGAGCGGTGCTGGAGTGACTTCATGTTTCAGCTAAAAAAAAAATTTAAAAAATAAAAAAAAAAAGAGAGATTTTTCTCCCCAAGTATAAACAAGCCAGAAAATTAAAATATTCTCGAAATTAAATAAACCGGCTGGTGCGTGAGGTGGTCTGAGAAAAAAAGAGAAGAGGAGGGAAAAAAAACAAAAAGGGAGAAAATGGAATTAAATTCCGAACCTACCTGCGAAGTCTTGTTTGTAGTTTTGGCCAGAAATGGTGAGAAGAAAAAGCATGAAGAAGCCGCGAAGTGGAGGAGAAAAGGTGAAGGGAGATGCAGCTCCTGGAGAAATTGTAAAAAGCCTTGCAAAGAGTTGTCGGAAGGACCGTTATTCCTGCTGGGCAGGTTAGGACTGATCTCTTTCTGCCACTCCAGGAAACACAAACCTGGGGACGGACTGACGTGTTACGCCTCTTCTAATGACATTTTTTTCTTTTTCTTTTCTGTACGAGCGAGAGGAGAGACCCTGCAACACACGCCACCTATCTTTGTGGGGAGGGATAATTGGAGAGCACCAAACGTGAGCATCATGTGGAAACGTGATCGCCAAGTTTCTCTCTGGGAAAGGATCTGGGATAGATTATACCTTGAAGTCTCCGCGAACGCTTTAGCGGCAGAAATGCAATTCCACCTCCTCCCGCCCGCCCCCCGCCCCGCGCCCGCCCCCCGCCCCGCCGCTGCGCTCCGCGCCGCTCCGCGCCCCGCGGAAACTCACCGCGCCCCGCCACCGCATCCCAGCCCCTCCGGGGGCTGCAGCCCCCCTGCCCCGCGGATGCGACCCTGCCCTTCCCCCCCGCCCCGGTCGCATCCTCTGCCGCCCCTGGGGCGCATCCCTGCTCCCCCCCACGGCGCGGCGCATCCCTGCCCGTGTGTCCCCCCCACAAGTCCCCGCATCCCTTTCCCTCCCCCAGGCGGAATCCCCCGCCCCCTCCCCAGCAGGATCCCGCCGGATCCCCTGCCCCCAGGCTGGATCCCTGCCGGTTCTCCCATCCTCGGGCGGGATCCCTGGCGGTTCTCCCCCCGGCGGGGTCCCCTCCGCTCGCCCGCCCGCGGAGCCGGCAGAGGGGCCGCATCCTGCCCCGCACCGTCCCGCTCCGCAGCCCCGCGCGGAGCCCTCGCATCTTGCGGCGGGGAAAACTTACC